TGGGGCACTCAGTGACAGGCTGGCAGAAAGAGCAAGTACATTCATCACACCCCATGGTATCCTTTGTAACTGTGCAGGAAGAATCACAGTGCACTTGGTTGCACTCGGGGCACTTGCAGATGTCACATCCATTCTCGTCTTTCTCTACAGAACAGTTAGTCGGGCAATGTGCCAATGGCTTACACACAGGACAGCCACAAACATCACAATTCCTTTCGTCTTTTATCTTTGGACAGTCATCGGGACAATTCGTCAGAGGCTTGCATGTTGAACAGTCGCAGTAATCACAGCCATTGTTCTTCTTCCTCACAGTGCATTCAGCAGAGCAGTTTGTGACCGGCGGGCAGTGTGGACAATCGCACACCTTGCATCCTTGGAAGTCATACTTAGGGCAACAGAGTGGATGACACTCACCAACTGGCTGGCAAGGGGGGCAGTCACAGTAATAGCATCCTTTACTGATTTTCTTGATGGGACAGGATATAGGGCAATGTTTTACAGGTTCACAAGCTTGGCAGTCACAATCTAGGCAGCCATCTGACTTGACAAAAGGCCTGCACGGTGGTTTGCATTCCCTGCGTGGACAAACTTGTGGACAATGGCACTTAAGACACCCATCTGGCTCCAGCAAGGTGGTACAAGGAGGCTTGCACACTTCGACTTCGGGACATACCTTCTCTATGGGATTTGGGCAGAAACATCCCTCCCAGTTATCTGGGAGAGGAGCCAAGAGACAAGGTAGTTCGCATTTACGTTCAGCAGGACAGTCTGCAGGACGAGTCTGACCACAATGACACTCAAAGCAGTTTTCGGCTGCCCTCTTTAGCGTGCAAGGAGGCGAGCAAGTAGGAACCGGAGGGCAGTGGGAGGGTGTTTCACCACAGTCACAATCAACACAGCCTTTAGGGCCGAGGGCCTCATGGCAGTCAGCTGGACACGTGAGGGGTTGACACTCACAGGAAAGGCAGTTGTCAGCACCCAGAGTCAGCACACAGGGCAGGTTGCAGGCAGGTATTGCGGGGCAGTCTGGAAATCAGAACAATAAATCAGTGATATAAATGATCAAACATTCCGTCAGAATTTCTGCATTTGTTGTTGAAAGAAATGGGTCTTAATTTTAAGGCAAGGTTCATCAAATCTAAGCTTTACGTATCTCTGCCTAAAATCCTAAAATCACATTGAAAACCAAACGGTATGAAGAAAGTTACATGCGTTTAGCATATTCTAGATATTTCAAAATTGTCAATTCGATCTTTGATTATTCACCAAGTAAAGGGTATGTGTTCAAGTGTCTGTCTGTCTCTCTTTCTCTGTCTCTCTCTCTCTTTCTCTTTCATTCTCTCTCTCTCTCTTTCTCTTCTCTCTCTCTCTCTCTCTCTCTCTCTCTCTCTCTCTCTCTCTCTCTCTCTCTCTCTCTATATATATATATATATATATATATATATATATATATATATATATATATATATATATATATATATATATATATATATATATATATATATATATATATATATATATATATATATATATATATCCTCTCGTTCTCTCTTTCTCTCCCCCTCTCGCTCTCTCTCTCTCTCTCTTTCTCTCTTCTCTCTCTCTATCTCTATCTCTCTTTATCTCTATCTCCCTCTCGCTCTCTCTCCCTCCCTGTTTTAGTGTATGTCTGCCCGTCTCTCTCTCTCTCTCTCTCTCCTTCTCATTCTCTCTCTCTCTCTCTCTCTCTCGTTCTCCCTCTCTCTCTTTCTCCCTCTCGCTCTCTCTCTCACTGTATCTCTTTCTGTATCTCCTCTCGTGCTCTCTATAGCATACTCCACGTGGCCGTGTTCATCATGTGGTCCCATACCGCGTGGTCCAGTATGCTTAGCATGCCACGAGGCCGTCTGAGCCACGTGGCCCGAGGGCCGCTTGCGCTCGTTGGCGCCGCTGGTTAGAATATAAGGGAGGCCAAACCTAGACCCATCCTCATTCTTTATTCGCGCTTACGACTACATATCACTTATTTCTCTGTAATGAACAGTTGCCCCCCCCCCCCACACACACTTGACCAGTTTCGCTTCCGGTCTCGGGCTGGGTGGAAACTTAGTAGTATGCTGTCATTACTATTTTGGTGACATTCTGTCGGCGCGAAGAATATAGTTATGACCGCAAATATTGTAAATTCGTTTAATGAATAAAGCATAACGATCTTCCCCTTTCATCGTGCCGACAATTCACGGGGTTTCGTACTGAATAATAGGTCGCAGCATTCGACGTTTGAGAGAAGGTATAATGAAACCGAAGCATAGCTCATTCGATCGACATATTGAGTCAGTGTGAACCTGTATTATGTCTGTTTAGAAAAAGGACTGGGGTTTAAGCTCGAATTAATTCGCTTAATAATCACACTCTCTCACGTTTCTTTACCGCTGGCATGAAGGGAAATTTCCAACAATCATGTGATTCGTAGTTGATATCTACGTGCGCCATTCACAGAATTGTAGTAGTAAAAAGACTA